AGGTCTTAAAAACATGGAAGCCAGTGGAGAGAGAAACAGAAGTTCACAGCACTATGCTATTTATGTAAATGAATGCACACACATTACATATTTTGCGAAGACTCAAGCACATTTGAGGATCCCTGTCAACCACATGGAGGGTGCCCGGAAGGGCAGGGGAAGGGGATGAACCTGGGGTTTGGAACAAGGAGAAAAATGAGTGAAGCAGGACAGGGTGGCCAGGCCAAGGAGGAAGAGATGGGGACAGACAGGCAGCCCCCACAACTTGGGGTGAACTGGGTTCAAACACAAAAATGAGAAGCAGCAAATTTACCAAGCCCCCAGCTTCTGGAATGCCCTGGGGTCTTTCTTAGACCTCCTCAGTCAGCATGCCCGAAGGGGAGGCCCAGGAAGTGGCATTTTTGTTAGCGGTTTCAATTGCACTAAAGTTCCCTCAGAAGACAGCCTGGAGGCCCGGGGCTGCAGGGGCAGAGGCTGCTCTGGACTGGGAGGAGCACCTGCCCCCTGCACCCCTGCCCAGCTGCTCAATCCCCTGGGAGTTCTGGAAGGCTCTTTGGGTTTGCTAGAAACTTCAGCACTGGGGTCACCTTGACCAAATTCTCCTCCCAGAGGCCAGAGATCCACCGGCAGGCACTCCCTATGCCATTTCCTGTCCTTCTTGGAAGAATGATGGGCTCACAAGCTGCGGAGGAGGCGGGGCACACATTGACGAAGACGAATGATCACTGAAAGCATAAGGCGTTCTGAGAGGCAGTCCCCCAGGAGCTCCGAACACGACTGAGGGCCCAGTGCCTGGGGGGTGGGTTTGGGTCGGGGGAACAGCATGGAACAGAGGTAGCCATGGCTGCTGCTCCCTGAGCCAGCCACCCACTCCCAGGGCACTGGCCCCTTGGAGCCTTTTCCCTCCCTACAGAGTGAGGCTGGGTGCCCCCTTGCAGGGCTGTGAGGAGGGTCTGGTGAATGCAGCTTTGCTCAGGGATGAGCGGCAGCACCTGACCTCCCATCTCATGGCCACCTTCCACAAGGACAGGTGCTGAGCCCACCTGCTGCAGCCCTCTTGGGTCTCTCTCCATGGCTTCCAGACCCGCTGGCCTCTCTGGCCTCTGCTCTTTTGTCATGCTCATCCTTTCCAGGGAGTTCTCTGCCTCTCTTCTGAGTGCCAGCGCCACGCGGAGAGTGCCACACGCACAGTGCCATCCACAGCAGCATGGGCCTCCCTTGGCTGCACCCGCAGGGCCAGGCACTGTGTTGGGAGACTTAATTGCACGAATCCCTGACTTTTCCTAAAGGGGAGATTTTATCACGAATGCTCCCATTTTTCAGATGAGGAAATGGAGGTGATAAGTGACGAACCTAGAGCTGAACTCCAAGCCAGTCTTTGTTTTGGTGTTACTGAGACTGGAATCCAGGGCCTCGTGCACACTAGGCAAGCACTCTATCACGGAGCTTTGGCCCCAGCCCTTCTTAAAATTTTTACTGTGAGGGTCTCTCTGATTTGCCCAGACTGGTCTGGAACATGTGATCCTCCTGCCTCTGCCTCCCAAGTAGCTGGAATCACAATCCTGCACCACTGTGCCTGGCCTGGCCTGTAGTCTTCTGCGTTCTCAGACTACTGGCTTCTCATGGGAATGGAGGGGTGGTATCTCCGCCACCTTCAGCAAGCCCGGGACAGGGTGCCTCATTTCTATGGATGAGCTTCTATGGAAAGTCTGTAGAGATGGGAAAACGCAGGCCATTGCTTGTGACTGGGCAAACGTCTTCATCCCTATTTTGTGTTTGCATTAGGGCAGAGCAGGCGACCGGCAGAATCTCTGCATGTGTCCACTCTGGACTGCTGTTTTGGCTTCTGGAAAGAAGAGAGCGGGGCAGAGATGGCGTGCTGCAGGCCATGGGCCAATGAACGCAGGCGGCCTCTCCGCGCTGGGCAAGGCCAGCTTGGCTGCTCCTCTGAGGACTCTCTGTTTTCCGCCCACTGAGGACCATTTTGGACTTCTGACCTCCCCAAACTACAAGATGCTGAATCTGTGATGCTTGAAGCCACTAGGTTTGTGCCAACCCATAACCCGGGAACACACCCCTGAGGTGGCTTTCCTAAAGAAGATTCCCGCCCTCAGCTCCTGGGGTCTCACTCTCTCCCTCTCACTCCAGCTTCTGAACCTGCACCTTTCCCTAATTCTGGGAGGGTCGTAGGGACCCCTTCAGTCTCTCCCCCCGCTGCTCTTCCCCGCTCCCCGTGTGTGCTGCTGCCAGTGCAGCTCCATCTGTTAGGATTAGGGCTCCTGGCTGGGCTGACTCAGAGGTGGGTCATGCTACATTCATCCCCAATTAAACCATTAATCAAAACAGATCCAGCCTGAGCTTGGCCCCGTCCTGGCATGTCGGACCTCCGAGAGACGCCATGCTGCATGGGGATTATTTCTCAGCCACCTGCTGTTCATCCTTGTCACAATCCAAGCATCTCAGGCCTTGCTTCCTCTGAGCTGGGGTCCCCATCCCTGGGGAGATTATGTGCTGGGAACCGGGCTCTTCTCTCAATCCCTCACTTGCCTCCAGAGCAAAAAAAGTGCCAGAGTCTCCAGTTAAAAACCCAGGCTGCCTCTGGAGCAGCCGGGCTCTGCTGCTGGCAGAATAACACCACACACACGTCTGTTTTCTACCAGGATGTGTTGGGGGCCCATGTAAGAACACCTTTTCTATTTGTGTCTTTGTAGCGGGAAATTTGGGTAGAGAGGCCTGAGCAAAGGAGCAGACTTGGGGACCTTGGGACATCAGGTAGGGAGACACCTGCTTGCATGATTCCTCAGGGGAGTTGCAGGTGTGAGACAAAAGTCACCACAGGGCAGGGGACAATCGTAGGCATAAGTCACATCCTATCTGTAGCAAATGCACTTCATGTGCTGATTTTGTTCATCAAGTACAATCTGCTAGATAATAAAAATGGCCAACAGTGATTGAGTGCTTGCTGACAGATCTTGCCTCTGGCTTCTTATTAATTCTGTTTAGAGGGGCTTATCAGCCGCCATTTTCCACCCGAGGGCTCCATTTCTGGGTTTAATGAATCAACCAAGACTGGATTCTCAAATTCCCTACACCTCTGGCAACCAGAATAATAACTCTATCAAATATGAGGAAAGGGGTGGAAAGAAGGGACACCCTGGTCAAGACACTGAACAGGGGGTCCTGGGGCTGAAGTCCCAGATCTGGTGTGAGTCACTAACCTCCTGTATTCAGGACACATCTCTGCTCTTTTGTTCCCTGGGGCAGCTCTTACCTCTGGCCAGAGCCCAGCTGTGTGTGAGGTTCAAAGTGGCTCCTGGACCTGCCACCACCAGGCTCCAGGGTGCCCACAGCCTGGCTTCCCAAGCCTTAGGAGAAGAATCAAGGTTTTCTGTTTCCAGCGCTCACACAGCTCCCTGTGGGTTTGGAGTGTGTCCCTGGGTAGGCATCTTTCCACTGGAACGGGCTGGCTCAGAGCATGACGGATAAGACGAATCCCCAGAGATAATAGCTCACCTGACTTACACACACCTTCCCTCCCTTTCCACTCTGCAGGTACCTTTGTAAAGCACCAAAAAAATCAGAAGTCAGAAGACACAGGCAGAGGCTCTGGTCCTACAGAAAGAGGACATGTCCTGGCCACGAGCCCCAATCCCCAGCAGTGCCAATCTTAAATTCGAGGCGATGGTGGTGAGGCTCCCCATAGTGACTGTGTGGGGGTATCAAGTACACCCTAGGGGAAAACCTTGCTCAGATTCATAAGGCAGGAGCTCCTCCCTCCTATCACCCCCACCCCAGAGCTCAGGGTGTCAGCAAAGTGGATGTCTATGTGTCTGTCTCCCTCTTGCCATCCACCTGAGTGACTCTGGACCCTTTAAGTGCTTAAGAATAGCAAGTACTTAAGAAGATGCCTGCTGAATACACAGCTTGACCAACAAACCCCACTGGTGGCCGCCTGCATTTACCATGAGCTACACGAGCCCAGCATTTCCCACCCCCGAACCCCATCATCACCCCCCCTTAAGGAGCTTTTCAAAGACTTTTTCTTCTTTTCCAAGAACCCACTGGACGCCACCCCCATTCCCCCACCCCCATTGAGAATGAATGCATTTGATGAACCCCATTTCTACCTGTAAACATGGGCTGCTGCAGCTGGTCACCCAGCAGGTGACTTCCCTTCTACTCTTAGCTGCAGGAAGGCTGCTCCCACCTATCCTTTCCCCACGCCGTCCCTCTCCATTCTCTCCTCAGCACAGGATCTCAGTACGTGTTTACTGACTGACTGAACCAATGTTGTGCTCTTGGCATGGTGGCTGCCCACAATAATGGCTCAGCCAATCTTTGAACAATCTTTGAACACTCCCTGATGGAATGAATGAACTCCACCTTCCCCAATCCTGCAGGCTGAGCCCCTCTCCAGTATGGAGCTCCAGAGGCTGAGGAGACCTTCCCTATCCCACATTCTCGGGCTTCCTGTGAACTATCTCGCTATCCTCAGCACCCAGCACACAGTAGGCGCTCAATAATCGCTCATTGAGCTCATTAATGAATGAATCAATAAGGCCCACCGGTGAGGGTGCTCCATTCGGTGCTTATAGATGGAGTGAATGAAGCAGCGACAGACGCCCCCCTCCATCCCAACTCTCCCACTTCCCGGGATCGGGCGAGGCTGCAAGAAACCTCTGTCTCAGGATGAGCGCCCCCACCCCACGCCGGGTCACGCTGGCGAAGAACGTCCCGCACTTTGCATCCGGGGGACCCCTGGGTTGCAGCCGGAGCTGGACCCGCACCGCAGCCGTGGCGAAGCGCGCTCCACGCCGCCGCCCGTGGCAGCTCGCTGGCCCTCGGTCGCCCCAGCCTCCCTCCCGGCCGGTTTCGAGGCCCCCGCAGGAGAGTGTGGGGCCACCACCACGTGCAGCGCCCCCAAGCCGCAGCGTGGCGGAGCGGGGTCCTGCCCGCAGCGCCGCAGCGTCCGGCGAGGCTGCAGCGCGCAAAGTTCCCACCTCAAGTTCCCGTCGCGGCGTCCCCGCCTTGGAGTTGGCCGGGTCACGGCTGCCGTCCCCGGTGCCAGCGGGCTCGGGACGAGGATGCGAAAGGGGGCTGGAGGCCGCCGGGGGCGCCCGCTCTGCCTCCCGGAGCCGCGGCCAAACTTCGGCCCCGGGGCCCGGCTCGACTCCTGCTCTCGGACCCAGGGCCACCCCGCCTCCGCCTCCTGGTCCCCGCCGGGCTCCGAGTGCGCCGGGAGCGCGGCGCTGCGGCCGCCGAGGGAGGGAGCGGGGCAGGAGGCGGGACGAGGGAGGGGACTGCGCGCGGGGCGGGGAGAGTGGGCGGGCGGCAGGAGCTCGGCGCCCGGCCTCGCCCCGCTGCTGGGACGGAGGCAGCGCGACGGTCGCACCGCGCGGCCGGGCGCCCAGATCGCCGCCGCTGCCTCCGATCGGGGGCCTGACGCTCTTGCGGGGGTCGCGCGCTGTGTGGCACGTTCCCGCCTGGCCCGGGACGGCGCGTGCTGTGTCCCCCGCCACCGCTGTCCCCTTTCCCTTGCTGCTTCACGCATCCCCTCCCTGCCGGCCTTCAGCTTTTAAGGCCCCGAATTCCGCTTCTTGGAGGCTGCACGCGCCAGGCTGCTCGGCAACCTCCTGGGGTCGCGCGCCACGTCACGTGCTTTCCCAGGCGGTTCAAGGGCACCAGTGGCACAGGGTCTCTTGCACCGCTGCCCTGGGGTCTGCGCGTGCCACGTACTTGAAGCCTTGGCCTCAGGCTGCCCTGGGGCCCGCATTTCGGACGCGCTTCCACATCCTGGCGCCCCAGGCTCCAAATCTGCCTTTCTCTGGAGGTCCTGGGGCACCACTGTCCTTGGGCTCCTTGCTCCCCTGTCCCGGTGTCCATCAGTACCATGGTTCTGGAGCCGCACACTCTGCGATCTACGCAAGCTTCTACTTGGGAGCCACGGGCTCCATATCCTGTGCCGTTTCCTCGGTTGCCCTTGGATCTCTCCTGTCTTTGCATCCCTTTGCATGCGCTTCACCGCATCCTCTTAGTGATGGCATGTGTCATGCCAGGTTCCTTTTCCTTTAGGTCTTACTTGCCCCTGAGAGACCCATATGATGCAGCCGGCACTCCCAGGCCTGCACGGGTGCCTGGACAGGGACCTGGAGTTTTGGGGTCCTGCACAGGCACAGGAATTTGTAGGAGTGCACACAGTCGCTGGGGTTGGGTTGAAGGGCTCTGTCCGAGGAGAGTGTGCTTTCTTAGAGCCAGCTTTTAGGATCCCTTATGTAGCACTTTCCTCATTTTCTTTCTGTCTTTACCACCAGAGAACCCAGAAAGGAGTGCACAACGCACGTTGGAGAGTTGGGGGTGACTGCTCTTTCTGGGGCTTCCCTTAGAGGAGGAGGGTTGGCATTAGCCCTACACAGTAAGCTTTGGCTGCACGCTCACTCAGCCAACCTTGGCTTCCGCGCTGCTCAGCAATGGTTGGGGGAACTCAGGACAGTCTATGGGATGGATGTGTTCTGTGGCCTAGAGACAGCCAGTCAGGACAGGGGAGGAGTTGGCCCGAGAACCCGCCTTCCACTGGGGAAGAGGCAAGAGTTGGGAATGTTGAAGCTGTTCAGTTTCCATCTGTGGGGGCCGGGGACTGCAGAGACTGCTTTAGATAAAATAAAGAGGGAGGGCTCTCTGAGGAGTGACTGTGCCCTCAAGTCCTGAGCAAGGAGAAGGAGCCCATCTTTGGAAGATCTAGGAGGAGACCTTGCTAAGTGCACAGAACTAGAAAAGAAATGGCCTGTGGACAGAAGAGGGAGGTGTGTGAAGAACAGGGAGGCCACTGGGAGAGCTGGAGGGGTCCCAGCCCTGCCCACGGACAGCACCCTGAGCTCTCAGGTGCATCAGGCCCTGCCTTCTGTGCCCACCTGAGAACTGTCAGGTGCTTCTCTCTTTCTCACTTGCTCATTGTCTGTCTCCCTGCTGAGTGACGGACTGCATCAGGGCAAAGACCGGACTCTCTCCTTTCAGCTCCTTCCTCACTGCTAGGCACATGCAGAGAAGCCTCTGAGGTCCTTGTTGGAGGAACCCAGAGCAATTCTCTCTGAGGGTCGGACCACTGTCCTCTGAGAAGGTCACAGGAACAAGACATGAGCAGAGGATCTCAAAACCTTATTATGCATCTGAATTCTCTGGAGGGTTTGTTCAAAACCAAATGGTTGGCCCTTCCCCGAGAGTTTCTGATTCAGTGGGTTTGGGGTCCTTCCTGCAAACTCCTGGTGACTGTCTGGGCATCATACTTTGAGAACCACTAATATCGAATACTTGGGCCCCAACCCCACTGCGGCTGACTTCAGAGTCCACATGAGCTTTTGGAGTCATCCCAGGGCTCCAGGATCTGCCCTTTGTGTAGGATTAGTGGGACCTTGTGGCCACCTCTCGAGAGGGGCTGTCCCCAGGGATTGGGCCTATCAGAAGTCATGCACATGAGTCAGACGTTGGGGTGACATGCAGACAGAAGGCTGGCCACCCTGTGGCGACCATCAGTAGGGATGGCGCCCACCTCCCACCCCCAAGTACACACGGACTCACATGCTCCGCAGTTCAGTCACTGCCTGATCTTATCCCTGACTGTGCTAAACAGTGTCCAATAAAATCCTCCTAAATCCTTTTAAGGAATTCCCTCTTTGCCATTCCTCCCTCCCTTGAAGCCTTCCAGATTTTCAGCTCTTCATATCTTCATTTCCCTCCTGAGAAGCGTCCGTTGCCAAGCTGTCGCCTGGGAGTGGACGTCGACGATGCCTGGGACGACGGCTTTCTGAAAAGACGGGAACATCGGTGCCCAGCCCCTCCTCAGGGCCGGGTGGCCATTGGGTGATTGGTGGATGTCGGAGTCACACACGGAGTCACACACTGTGGGCTCTGGCACACAGACCGGTTCTAGTTGTCTCTATTGGGTAAATAAAAAAATAAAAAAACTTTTAAGAATTAATTGCTAACCTTTAAAAATCAGATTTCACATAACATTTTTTACTTTTGAAACCCTGGGAGGTCTGGCTGACAGTCTTTACCTGAGCCGCGTGCTGATGGTGGGTGGCGAGCCCCTGTTGCCTGTCCGGTGGTTTGCCAGTCAGCCACATCATGTCATTTAAGTCACCACCAGGCCCCTGGAAGCCAGAGTTGATGACCTGTCATCACATGGTAGGTGGCCAGCGGCATCCCAGTGAAGGCCTGTCTGGCCCGAGTGCCCAGCTCACACTGACAGCGAGCTGCTGGGAATACTGGGGCAGGAGGCGACGTGGTGTCCTGGCTGGAGGACACACCTTAAAAGGCAGTTGCTGTCAGCAGTGAGGATAGTTCCCCTTCTCATCCGTAAGAGCTGTCGGCAAGTCAGAAGGGCCTGCGTTGTTTTTCCACAGCAGCCTATTTTTTTTTTTAAATTCACCCCCCCTTGAGATGAAAAGGCTTAGATTTGATTGGAGTTGGGGGGAGTCCGTGGTCGGGGTGGAGGGGGCCGTGGTCCTCGTTCAGAGTTAGCGTCCTGGCAGGGAGCTTCTGGGGTGTGGGGGGTGCCGCTTTTTGGAAAGAAAGTGCTGGTCTCTGAGTCAAGTGGAGTGAGAGGGGGTGGAGGACCTTGTCCTGCTCTTCCTTCTATAGTCACTCTTCCTTCTGTAGTCACTCTTCCTTCTATAGTCACTCTTCCTTCTATAGTCTGCTCTGGGCACTCTGTCCCCTTTCTGATCCTTTAAACTCTGTCCCTCTGCCGAGAGTCATCTTCCCATGGATTTCCACTGATCCAGGACTCGTCTGTGGTCACCCTGGGACTCTTGGTCCCAGCTGGGATCAGGATGGAGAGGTGAGGTTGGGGTACACGAGAGTGTGACCTCATTTAAAATTTGATACTTTGCTCATCATGGACATTTTTGCATTAATTTTTACTTATTTATCTATTTTTTTAAAAAACATGGCATCCGATGTCTTTGGCCTTCCTGGGTGAGTCTTTTGGCCTTCTCTTAACTCTTGTACTCCACGCACCTGACCTTTTGGAAAAGAGCTCTGGACTGGGAGTCAAGGGACCAGGGTTCTGGTCCAGCTTGTGCCACCAGCCCAGCTATGTGACTGGACACAGGTCCCCTTGGTACCTTGAGGCGCTCAGCTCAGGGAGAAAGCTCACCCATCCGGGGGAGGGTGGTCCCTGACTCTCATTTTGATCTGAGAGGCCATCAGACCTCTGACAGGTGGTGCATCATGTCCCTCTCCTGGGAGTTTTGGGGTCATTTTAGGTCTTGCTGACCCAGCCATTGTGTGGTGTCCCTCACTGTCCTTTTCTTGGCACTCCATGAAAAAGGCTCCTCTGTGTACACAAAACCTCCCAGGTTGCTTTTTGCAGTGAGCATTGATACCCACGCTCATTTGCCCTGTGCTGGGGGAAAGCCAGTTTGGGAAGTGTGGCGAGGCACCTTATTCTCTGATGACTTGCTCCTTGTACTTTGATTTCATTCACTGGATCATTTGACAGGTATTTGTTAAGGACCTTAGACGTGCCAAGCACCGATCAAGCACTCAGTATCCCAAAGACACCTCTGCAACCCTGGAGGAGCCGGCTTGCTTCTAGGAGACTGCAGAAGCAGATCCATGTGCTAGGGGCAGGCTGCGCTGGTGGGGGCTTCCAGGTAGAAGCACCCATGTCTAGACTATCCTGTGTGTCTTTCCTCTCCGTTGCCATCAGCCCCGGCAGTGTGCAGTCACCGCCCAACAGATTCTCCTGCAGAGAGTGCTGCGGGGTTGCATTTGGGATTCACACTGGGGGTGGAGCTGAGTTAAAGCTCTCCCTTCCTTCTGACTCCCCACCCCTCTGGGGTTTGCTCCTGAGGTTTTCCTACTCCTGAGAACCCTTGAAGCCCATTCCTGCAATCAACTCCCCCCTCTGCTCTGGCCCCAGTGGTCCCACCCCAGCCTTTAATAGCTAACAGGTGCTCTCCTGGTGCTGCTTGATTAAGAGTTCCTGGGTGCTTCAGCCCAGCCAGGAGTTTCCGGCTCTTGCAGGGAGAAGGTGCGGGCCTGGGAGTGCTCTGACCCTTCAACATACAGTGTGAACAGCCTGCTGTTTTGAATACTTGGTGTATCCCCTCCAGAAACCCAGGTGAAAATTTAATCTCCACTGAGGGGGATTAAGAAACTCAGCCTATGATATTGAGAGGCGAAGCGTTTGGGAGGGAATAAGGATCAGGTAAGGTCATTAGGTGGAGCCTCCGTTGGACACCAGTGGCTTCATAAGAAGAGGG